TCGGGGCCGGGCCGAGCCCGGCTGGTGAACCACGTGGCTGCCTCAGAGGATCAAGTGGCCATGGTGAACTCACTGGAGGCCAGTGTGGACAGAGGCCTAGAGGACCCTTTTCGGTTCCTGCCAACCAGGTACGGTCTGAGATTATCAGAACCTGACAATGTGGAGAACCCTATCAGAGAATGAGGTTAAACTCCTCACCAGCTGGGACTGGAGGCTCAGAGCGGAACGGACGGTTCAGCGTAACCCCTGGCTCACTGCAATGACGGCGCCCCCAAAGTGCTCGGCAATGACCCCGACACGAAGGGAGAAGCAGACACACAGAGCGCGGCGACGAGGTGTGAGCGCACGCGCGTCTAGTCCAGACTTCCCATTTTAGACTAGAGAATCGGTCAAGCCAGTGCAGAGCTGAGGCGGCGGGTTGTCAGCCCTCAGCCCCTTTCCTTCCTGCCTTAACACTGGTAAAGTTCAGACATACCCGTGGCAATTAAAGTACATCACCAGTTAGTCATGACCATGAATACCCTTTACCAAAGTCAGATCTTACCATTTTAAAATGAAAAAAGAAAAAAGAAAACTGAATAAATATCCAGCTTTGACAGTGGGGGTAACACAGAACCACAGGTAAGTGGATTTCCCAGTTATTCCCCACTATAGCAATTGCGGGAAAATGACTTAAACCATACCGAAAGGGGTTGATACTACAGTTTCTGATAATTAAGTGCCTCTTCCAAAGTGTTTTAACTTTAGTACGTGTAGGCTGTGTGTTGTATGTAGACACGCAGGTAGAAGTCTACTAACTCTCCAGCACTGGGCAGGGGCTTCTCAGGCGTGTGTGTTAAACCCACCTAATAGCTAAAGAGACAGTTGTCATCTCTGATCTGGTCTCTCTCCGTAGGACTCGTCCTTCATAATAGCGCTCCTGGTCTACTCCCCACTATCCAGTCTTCACCAGTCCTCGTCCCCCTTCTCACCCTTTGTTCTTTGCAGGCAAAAGGCAGACAGGAATCTGACTCTATTTCTCCACGGTACGTGTGTCAGAAAACAGCCGCCCTCTACATGAGCCTCACTGCTCGGTGACAAGGTGATGAGGAACCTGAGTAGGCAGCCCTGGCGTTCTCCCATCCGTCGGTCCAGCAGCTGTCCTTGGGTGGCTGTGAGCTCAGACCCTGCCCCAGGCAGGTTCGAAGGGAAGGGTGCGGGCAGGCATGCCTACCGGCCAAAGTCTGCCCTTCAAATGCTGCCTCACCGAGACGCCGGCTCAGGAGGGTGGCCCAGCCTGTCTGCTCAGATGCTCCGATAGGACTCCCTATGCCAGCAGGGCCCATGGCGGATGAGGGCAGACAGCAGCAGCACGAGGGCAGCAGACACCACACAGAAGGCGATGGCGAGGGTGAGTCGTAGGGCTGTAGGAGAGGAAAGCGATCTCAGAGAACACATCAGGGAGAGGTGGAGAGCGCACCTCAGCATTGGTTTCTCTCTCCACTGTAAATTTCAGAGGAGTTTCTGGAGCAGCCTTGAAATCAGCACATGTGGTGAGTTAGGGTAGGGGTCAGGAGATGACCCAGGGTCCAGTTCCAGCATGGCCTTTGACCTTTGGTCTCCAACTTCCCACAGTAAAGGGAGTAGGTTTTTTTTTTTTTTTTTTTGTTTTTCCATAGGGCGCTGGAGAGAGAGAGAGAGAGGCAGGGAGAGAGAGAAAGAGAAAGAGAGAGGGAGGGAGGGAGAGAAAGAGAGAGAGTAGGAAAGCAAGAAATCACCCTGCAGGGGGGATGGCCACACTGCAATCCCTTCTGCATTCTCCTCTCAGGATTTTGGGCAAGCATGCACATGTCCCAGTGATTTTCAAACTGCCAGGTCTGGGACTCTAACCATGGCTGGCTATGTGGGAATCTAGCACCTTAACCTCTCCACCACCTGCTGGCCTGGGAAGATTTTTAAAAGTTTATTTTACTCAAGATAGAGAGTGTATGCATGTGTATGTGAGGGAGGAGACGAGAGAGAGAGAGAGAAAGAGGGTCTGGTTACATGGCCGTCCTCCTTCAGCCACCAGCTTGGCAGGATCTTGAACGCACAAGCTGTCACCTGCTGCACTTCAGGTCAGCTGGGCTGGGGATCTGAACTACATTCGGCCAAGTGGCTTCCGGCACTGCAGGCTGGGGTGCTACAGGCTACACCACCTAGGCTGGGCTGAGAGGAGGAGAACTAAGGTATTTCTAAGGTCCTGTTATAGCACCAGCTCTATGCATTTTCTATAGTTAACTTACCAATTATTCATAGTCCCGGAGCAAAGGAAATTCTGAATACTCAATTGCAATCAATTGGATCCAAAAGAAACAGAATCTTTCAATTTACTTTTTTTCCTTAAAATTATTTTCTTACGATAGACCATGTGCACGTGAGAGTAAGAAAGAGAGAGAGGAGAGCGATGAGCCCCCACAGGGCATGGTTCCACTGCAGTTCCACCTTCTAGTCACCTAGACCACCGGATCGTGGGCACTTGCATACATGCCTGGCACGTTTTGGGCTGACCCGGTCTGGAACTTTAACTGTAGTCAGGATGTGAGATCCAGCTTCCTTGAGCAATGGATTATTCCTGCAGAGAGCTGGCCAGAAACTTTTCTATTTTTGTGTGCAATTTTCAAATCAATACATTTCACAGAGGAAACTCTGAGCATGGCAAACATGTCTAGCATTACTGCGCATTATTACTATTCTGTATCTTTATTTATACAGATACCTTCTTTCACTGCCAGAGGGCATGTGTGCACTTATCAGAGAGAGATAGAGAAACAGAGACAGAGGCAGAGAGGGGAAGAACTCCTACACACCACTTTCAGGGTGCATGGCCACATCACAATGCCTTCTCTCCTATTTCCCCATCCTGCTGGGTTTGGGGCAAGCATGCATACACACCGGGCATGCATTTCAAGCCTCTGGGGTCAGAATTCAAGCCATGGTTAGCCATGTGGGATCCTTTAACCGGGAGGCCACAGAGCTGGCCCTGTACATGTCTCATATATACACACATGTCACATATACAGAAATATCTCAGACATATACACATATCTCACATATATACACACATCTCACATATACACATATATCCCATATACATACATGTACACATATACATACATATCTCATATATATATGTACATATAGCATACATATACATATATCTCATATATGTATATATATCTCAGATACATACATGCATATCTCATATATACATATACCTCATATATGCACACACATTTCACATGTACATGTACACATCTCACATATATGAATATCTCATAAATACATGTACCTATCTTACAAAAACATGTACATATCTCATATATGTATACACATCTCATACATGTACATAGCTCATATATACATATATCTCATACATATGCATGTCTCTTTGGTAGTTGATCAGTCATGAAGGAGATATATGGGTTCATTTTTTAAATGAGAAACGAATTCATTATCTCACCCGGCAAATTGCTCTCCCTCATACACACCCTAGTCCGCTACAGCATGCACAGAAGAAATACGTCTGGACTGTCCCCGACATGTCTGGCTCTTCATTGAGAAAACATGGGGCTGTTGTTGACTTAGGCAATGGGAAAGCAGTCTCTCTGATCCTGTAGCTCATTCCACAGAACCATAGTGCTCCGTGAGCACAGACAAAAATGACCAGTTTAGCCTAACCTAAACACTGTGGAGATGGGTTAAATAAAAACTAGAAAGGTTACATAATCTGGTTAGAGTTAAGCATATAAGAGGTCTCATTAGTCTCATGATTTTGAAAACCATCTATTCACTAATGACTTTCAAACTTAAATCTCTAACTCTCACTTCTCTCTCAAGCTCAAGTCTCTTAAACCCAACTATGCTCAACATTCTTTTGAACATCTAATAGGCATTTCAAGCTCAACAACTCCAAAACTGAGCTCTTATTTTTTTTTTTTTTTGGAGAGGTTTTTTTACTATAGGGTGCATGTGATTGCCAGAAAAACAGAGAGATAGAGAGACAGAAAGTGAGAAATCAACCCCCAGAGGGGATGGCCACACTGCAATTCCTTCTCCTCCCTTTTCCTCTTGGGATCTTGGGCACACACACACACACACACACGCCTGGCGTGAGTTTAAGCCACCAGGGTTAGGACTCGAACCATGGTTGACTATATGGGAGTCTGGCGACATAGCTATTATGCTAACTGCTGGTCCCCCAAAACTGAGTTCTCAAACCCATCACTCTCCTCTCTCAGCCCAGGTCTGCTCTCATAGTGGTCTACATCTCAGTTGATGGGAATTCTCTTTTAATGTCGTGTCAGGACAAAACTCTTAGGGGATTCCTTTTTTCTCATACCTTTTCCCCTATTTGCTGGGAAATCCTGTTGGTTCTACCAAAAAAATACATCCAGAAACTTATCACTCCTCCCTTTCTCCACCACCCTGTTCTGTGCACTATCATCTTTGTCAGGATCACCATCGTGGCTTCCTGATCTGATCCTTAGATTCCATCTTTTCTCCTTTACAGTCCGTATTCAACACAGCAGCCAAATCACTTCAAATCAAACCCTGCCACTCTTCTGGTTAAAACACAGTCTGCGATGAATGCTCATCTCAGTCAGTGTGAAGGCGAAGGTCCCGGGGATGGCAGTTCACAATTCTCTCCGCCATCTGGCCCCTGCTAACTGCACAGATGCCCTCTTCCTGTTCTCCCTCCACTCACTCTCTCTAGACCAGGAGGCCTTCTTGCCGTACTACAGGTGCGCGAGCACACCCGCCCTCAGTGCCTCTGCCATGGGTGTCACCGTGGTCCACGCACCTTCTCACAGAGCTGCGGGTATGGCCACTTCTTCACTTTCTGGCCTAAATCTTACCTTCTCAACCAGGCCTTCCCATTGAAAAGTAGAACCCCTCCCATTGCTCCCTGACGCTGTCACTCATGATCCTAATCTTCCCAGTGCTTACTTACTAGGGTCACTGTTTATCTCCTACTCCTCACTCCCTCTAGTAGAAGGATATAACCTTCACAAAGGCAGGAAACACTGGGGGTGTTCATGAACATATCTCATCTGCACTTACTACACACAAAAGCGACATGACCGAATGCATGTTTAAAAAGCAACAGCCATGGAAAAGATAGGATGATAGAGATATGATAGGCCTGGTTGGAGCTACCAAAACACCTTGACAAGATACTGGGGGTTCAGAACTAGAGCTATGGCCCTGGGAATGCAGGCGAAGGAACGGAGCGCAACACACAGCAGGGGCTGGTACAAATTCACAGAACATACTAGAGACCTAGAACTCACAGGTTCCAACCGCTAGCCCCGTATTCTCCCTAGGATGCCAACAAATGTCTAGAAAATGTATCTTGGCACCATGAGATGGTAGATATTAATAAAGTTAGATCCTGAGGGACAGTGTCATTACAGTTGCAGATTGAGTTAATATAAAATTGGAGAGAACTAAATAGAACTGGAGAAGGAAAATAAGGGAGGCAGATACCAACGATTCTTAAAAACCCACTTGCACAGACAACTTTCTGCATTTAAAAATGTATTTGTAGTTATCTTTACTGGTCATGCTTCCACAGCAGCCCCTTGGAATTTGTTTTCTCACCCTGCATTCTTCCTTCTTTCCTTTCTAAACAACAGTGAACACACAGCGCATGCCAGGCAGGCTGAGCTGGGTGCTAAGGACCGTAATGTTGTTGCTAAGGAGCTCAGTGTCTGGTGGAGGACCAGTTAAACTCTTATGCGATGGTGTGAGGACTACTGGAATGGGGTGTAGGAGATATGGCATTGGAGCAGAGGGTTGAAGTCAGCAGAGTGTATTCTATTTGGAAGAGAAAGAGTTGGAGAAGTCTGAGCATTGAGCTGGCCTGTAAGGGCAGAACATCGCCACCAGACAGAAGGGGCTGCACAAGGGAATGCTGGGAGAAGGCTGGAGGATGAACTTCACGGAGGCGAGAGCAGGCGTGTAGGCTGGTCCCTGGTTTTAGCGTCTGGTTTGTTATAGAGTATATGGAAGTCTTCAGCAACTATTACCTGTAGAAGTGACACAGCCCAGCCTGTATTTAAAAAAATAACCGTGGAATAAGGAAGGTTGGTGGCAATATGGTAGACTAGCTGTGGAGATATTAAAATGCCCCCCTTTTTTATTGCCAAAGGGCACATGAACTTGCCAGAAGGAGTAAAAGTAGCCCCCACTGGGGTGTGGTCATATGGCAATCCTTTCTCCTTTATCTCATCTTAATCAAGATTTGGGGCACATGGACATGCTCCTGGTATGTTTTCAAGCTGCTGAGGCTGAGATCTGAACTGTGGTCAGACAGGTGGGACCCAGATCCCAAGGTACAGCACTCAACCACTGTCCGTAGGGCTGGCCGTGAATCAGCCTG